TTATTTGTTGTCCTTACAATGTGTGAATTACTTCTGTGGTTTAAGCTTTTTCATAGCATGTCTTAATTATCTTTAAACAATTGTCTGTTGTGGGCAAGGCAGCACTTAGTCTTTTCTTTTTCTATTTTCTGCTTCAGTATCCATTGAACACAAAGTACAACTTTCCATAAAAAAATAATTTCTTCACTAAAAAATTCAGTTTCATTAATAGAGCGAGGCCCTGATACGCATGGGAAAAAGTCAGAAATCCTGTAAGAAAATAGTATATTGTCATCTAATCGCATATTGATACATGTATTCAAGTAAAGAGCCTGTCCTTTCCTAGCTTCTTGACTTAAAAAACCCAAATCCAAGATCTTAACTTTCATATTCAAATTTCGTATACAGTTACACTGATCTCCAGCCCTAGTTATGTGTGTGCTTACTGTAGGTTCAGAGCACAGACTACATCAGTGAATATCGCTAGTAGCATCATTAAGGTGATATTCTTTACAGAAATCTGTCACTAGGGATGATGAAACCACTTTATTTTCCTCCTCATAAATGGGGTTAACATCCATGCCATGCCTTCTACATTGAAATTCTGCATTCAGTTCCCAGAGCACATGGCAATGGTTAGATTGCTGTCTTTCCCCCTTCTCCTGCCTGCTTCTGCACCTCCTCCACCTCTTTTCTTGATCATCTTTATTATGAGTTTCCCAACATGTATTTTCTCTTGCCTGCTGCCGTACATATCTTGGCTTGCTCTTTGTATCAACCACGAGATTTAAGATACAAAGACTTTATTGAAACATTATAAATGTAATTGCTATTCCTGATTATGTTATGTCACAAAATGATCTGTAAGGTATAGAATTTGACATGAGTTGATCTTTAATTATACTGCAGACCTTACAAAAGAAAATAGCAGAATGGAAACTCCAAGTTGGTGAATACAAACACCAGATGTTAGCCTTAAGGAAAACAAGTGAGCAAAAGAAGACTGCTCTAAAAAAAGCAGTCAGGTCCCAGAAACAAAGAGCTGAATGCTTTGAAGCAGCTGTGGAAGATTTAACATCCAGAATAAGAGAACGTGTGAGTGCTACACTGTGAGCAACATCGTGCTGTATTGTTTTAAACTGAACAATTGGGAGACTTTCACCTGTGGAGAATAGGAAAAGTTGGTTGGTCCTGTTGTGTTTGTATCTCTCATTGTTTTGCTCCTTGGTTGAAGAAAAGGTTGCTATAAGTGACATGTAAATTGTTGCTACATTTACTGCCTTTGTTAAAATTTAGTGAATGCCTTAAGGCATGAGGTTGTACACTTCAAACTGTAGTAAGAGGAGTCTGATCAGCTTTCAGTTACACCTCTCCTGATCTTCCTGCTAGATCTTTCTGGATATACACTGACTAATCTCTGAAGTACAGTACACTAACTGAGAATACATGGTTGGGGTTTGAAGTCTTTGCTTTCATTGTTTATCACTGTATGACATCTCATGTGAATACTTAGCTTTCTGTTGCTAAACTGCTTGCTCTGAGCCTTTTCAGTACCCATGTACAAAACTTCCTTAATCCAGATTGTTCCTTAGCTTCTTGACCTGCATATCCCTACAGTGTGTAATTGTTCCAGAAAGCCAGGTAGATCAGAACTGTGCTGAGATCTTTATTGCCTTACTTAGATTTCCTAATAGGAGTATGTTTTCATACTCAGCTGTGTTGCCATCATTTTGGATAGGTCAGTATTAAAGATACATTTTTCCAGTTGGTATACCAGGAGATGGTTAATAATGTTTTTTGTTCTCTTTGATCTTTGTGAGAAGACAGTAGCGAATCTTTAAGTACACTTAGCAGTAAAGAGAGATGGCAACTAACTCCTGAACTTTGGATGTTTTGTAGTCACGCTGTTGTTTTCATTCTCCATTGAAAACCAGGTGTACTTTCAAAATAGCATGTTCTGTTTAATTATCCGTACTTCTTTGAGAGACTTTGCTTAACTTTGCATTTCTTACCTAGCTATTATTTTTTATTCTTAAAATGTTTTGGCAGAATTTTATTTTTGTTTTTATATAATTTATATGTAGTAGAGATGTATTGGAGATAAATATTTTTGTTGTAAGAAAATATTTTAATCTTAAATTTTGAAATATTGTTGTATTCTACAGTTGATATAGAGTCCCAGTGTTTAACTGTGTCTCTGCCTTGAACATAAGTCTGTACTTAGACCTTAAGTTTTTCATATGTATGTAGTTTTGTTTATTTTCTTTTGAGACAAGACAAAATTTACATTGCTTTGTACTAGGGAGGTTTAAGCCATCTGATGTTAAATAGCTCTTGTGTTTAGAAAATTTTTTAGAACTAGATGGTATTCTTCAGTGGTATTCTTTTGTTACATAATTTGTAATTCCTGTGTTCTCTAGGAAGTCAAACTGTCTGAGATGCTGTCTACTTCTGATGTCTGGAAAAAGTGGTATGATAGAATGGTTGAAGGAAAGACAACATTAGAAATTCAAACAGAAGATCTTAAGAAGTAAGTTAATTTGTAGACCTATTTTTTTGTTTCTGTAGTCACTACTTTAGTAGTGTAGTACTCAGATTGACAATGTAAACAAGTTTATGTATTCATATTTTAAGATTTTAAGCAGAATTTAGAAGTTGGAAACTAGGAAAAAATTAAGATGTGTAGCCTTCTCTGTGCTGCATTTCACAATTTTAAGACTTCATTCTCCCATACAGGTAAGGAGCATGTCCCTGCATACTTCTAATTAACCTGAACTTGCTAGTAGCTACTATGCTGCTTCCTCAGAACCCTGTATTTAGTAACTGATTAAACAGCTTGAGTGTTAACTCTTATGCCTACTGCAGTGTAGAAGAAGGTTGTTACTTAGGCTTCTAGTTTCTACTTCAGACTAATGACAGCAAAATTATTTCAGTTCCTCTAATGTCTCACCCCACTAGAGGATAGAGAAGAGTTCCTCTCAGGCACGTGTTTGAACAATTTATTCTTGTAAGCAACACAAAACTGTCCAACCTTATTCAAACTATGCAGTCAGATCTTAATGTACATGAAGGATGTGCCGTTTTCTTTGGCAGACAATGACAAATACCCTTTGACCTTTCTGTTGGTAGAAATACAGAATATAATTCAAGCAAGTAAGAGAAATGGTAGGTGCCTTTATGCTAGGTCTAAGGTGGAATGTTAATTTTACAGAGAACTTGATTCATGCTCAAATACATAACAGCTCAAATTAAATTGGCTTGACTCTTTTGTTATTTTTTCAGAAAATCTAACATTTCTAAAAATATTTTCAGCATATTTTAAAATTTAACAGGAGTAGAGGTACATGACGTCAGTCCGGAATCTGTCTAGTCCAGTATTGTTCCAGTGTATATGAGGAGGCATTTAGGAAAGAACAAGAGGGAAACATCTATGATACTTCTCTCAAATACTATTTTTTTCTTCCAGCTGTCTTTTGCTGGTTTTATTTTAGCTGAAAAGATAAGTTTTTGCTTGAAATGTACCATTCTAACAAGACTTTTTCTATTAGACAGTAGAACTATCTCTGGATAGTCTACTATGACTAACTAAACAGTAAAACAAATTTTGTTGTTTAACTTCATTAACATGAAAAACACGTGAGGCATATAGCACAATTGGTTGCTTTTAATAATGGAAATTACCATTCTTACACTAGCTGTGGAATGTTCTCAGTAGGACATTGTCTGATAGACCTTATAAATGCAGTATCATTCAATTTTGTACTGTGTGTGTGTGCATAGTTGTCCTGCAAGTATGCTTGGGTGTTCTAGGTAATGAATTTATTTATAATTGTGCTAGGACCACTTGCTTGGTGGACCACATCTCTTCTGAAAAGTTTCTTATTTCAGTAGATAGTGCTTTCTTGAGATGCTTAAATGTTTTGTCCCAATTTTTGTTTTTGTTTTTTTTTTTTTTTTTACTTCAAATAAGAACAATGAAGGAGTATGTATTAAGGTACAATTTAATTTGCATAGTGAGAGTTTTGGAAACATTATATATGCTATACACGTTCTTGCCTATCTAACAAGGCAGATCACAAGCCTTTTGGAAGACCCGAAAAGAAAGGAGGAATGGAGAACAAACTCAGTTGCGGAAATTCTTGGAAAGCTAAATTCTGTTAACTCTGAAAATGAAAAAATTTACCTTGAAAATGAAAAATTAAAGGTGAGATTATTTTAAATCATTGTTGAATGGCTCTGCATTTCTGATACATTAATGAAGTAACCACATTCATTCCCTTTTGGCCCTCCGTCTAGAGATCCCAAACCTGTGGAATAAATTTTGCTGTCCATTTTTTACAGTAAGTGAAAATGAGACATTGAAAATTTATCAGTGGAAATCTATGGCAAATCCAGGAAGAGGATTGTCTAATCATCTATCTGCTTAACTAGGATGCCATTTATTTTACTGTCAGTAGATACAAAATTGCTTAATAGGAAATTGTTATTTTATGTTTGTAAAATTTTTATTTCAAATTAAAAGACTGACTTTATGTCACTTACTAATTTTTAAAGGGTTTACAGGTTTTGTATTGTATTTATCCTCCAAAGTAAATATTCTGGTGAGCTGATGAATGAACTGTGGGCTATCATTTTTGTTTGACAGAGTAAAAAATCGTGTCACTCTTTTTAACGTCTGCAGGTCACTTGCTAGTAACAGCATATTGTAGATTGTCCTATTTTAATAATACTCTTAGAATTTTTATATTTTCTGTGTTTTAATTAAGGCTTCCCTTGCTATATTGGAAAACAGTACTGTTTCTGTTGAAAATGAACTGCAGGAAAACCTTGTTGAACAGTATAAAAATCAGGTCATGAGTGTACTTGAAATGTCCAAGTACGGGTTTTAAATTTTGAAACATTTTTGAGGAAATTTGTAATAAACCAGATTTGTTGTCTGTAATTCTGTTGTAACATTGAGGGTGATAGAAGAGAGTGCCACTACAAACCACATTCGAGAATAGTCTCCACACTATTGCTGGTGTACAAAATCTTTACTGAATTGCATGAAGCCTAATTGAAGCTCATTGAAGCCAACAGAGCTGGTTATGTACTTCCTTAGAAAATATTTGCTTCCTAAAAAAGCAAGTTGGCAACCCAGTCAACTGTATTTAAAATTTGACTCTGATGTCTTTAGTGGGCATATCCAATGATATATTACCTCTCCTTGGTCGTATCTGTATTTCCACATTCTGAAGAACAGTAAAACAGCACTCAGGTACTGTTGTGAGAGGTTTTTTTTTTATTTACGTCAGTAGCTCCACATTGAAAATAACAGCAAAACATATAAATCAGACTTAAAATGGGCTTTTTATTAACTCCTTTTTTGGTATTTAGCTTTACTCACAGAGAAGGTATTTTAGAACATTGTTTCAAAGTTGTGTAGTGTAGTGCTGTAGTGTAGATACCATTTCACTGACAGTCTTCACTTTATCTTTTTTTTTTTAAATCATTGACGAGAGGAAAGACTTGATGCTAGCTCTTAAGTACAACCAGTGTGCCTTGTCTGGGGAACACATCACCACAATGAAAGTTGTTGCCAGCTTTAAGATGGGAGATGTAGTTCCAGGGAACAGCCAAGCTTAAGCAGTGAGTGGGATGAAATTCCCTAGCTCGTAGCTGTGATGATTCCAGATGGGAATTGTTGATGCTTGTTTTCTGGGAGAGAAGGGTGAGTCATGCTGGCTGCGTCTGTAGCACAACTGTATCTCATTCTCTGTTGTTGAATATGAAATGTAGGTACCAGAGTACTCTTTACATGGTTACCCTCTCATATTTGCTGTGGTGAGTAGGGTAATGAAAATAAATGACTTCATATAATGAGAAATATAGGGATTCTATTTAGAAATCACGAGTTTTCCTTTATGCTTCATACTAATGATTCTATCTTTTCTATATCTAAAAGAAACACCTTACAAATGTTTTTGAAAAATATATTGTATCCTAGGTACAAAAATTACAAACAGCAGTAGAAGAATTGAAATCCAGATATGAAACAGTCTTAAATGAAAACAGAATAACAGAAAACAAATGCTTAGAAGTAGATGAGGTAAGTTTTGCAGTAATAAAGCATGTTTCCAGACAATTCTGTAGGATGTTGATCTTTCCTACATTATTGTGATCCACTTATTAGAAGTCTCAAAGTACTGACTCTTCTTTTTTCTTTGTCCATCTATAAAATTCACACTGAATGCTTTACTAACTCTTGTGAGCTGGTGGGCTTTTCAGTACTACACAATAGCAAACAGGTGAGAAATGGTTCCTAGAGTAATGACTAAGGAGTTGGGGTGCTCTTTTAGAATTAAAGCATTCTTTTATCACTTTTAAATATGTGATTTTCTTGTTGATGATTTTAAAACTAGATCTCTCAACAGAACAGTTGTGAAAGTTGCATAGGGAAGCAAACCTACTGTAAGACTGCTTTGCCGTGTAAGTTGTTTTAGCTAGCAGTTAAAACAGAGAATCCATCTAGAGATGAGTTTTGTTTTTCACCAGGTGGAGCTGAATACTGGAACACAGTTAGCACATTCTTAAGCCCCAGAAAACAATAAAAAAATTTATGGGAAAATCACTTTCCTCAGTTCCACGGCTTATCAAAATACATATTATTTTAAGCGATAAAGCTGAGCCAGGGGCAGGTTTTGCATTGCCTGCAATGTTCTGTTTTAGAGAACAGAATTAGTCCTCACAGAGAAGCATCTTAGATTTTCACTTTATTTCATGCTAACTTTATTATTCCATGATTGAGTTGCAGAATGGAGAAAAATGTTTTCGGATCCCATAAGTATCATTTGCACAGCACTGTATGTGGCTTCAGATGGCATTGATTGTTGCCGTCTTTTCAAAACAGTTGTATGGTCAGAATTTTCCCTGTAAGCTGCTTAGTGAGTCTGTATGCCATCTCCCCAAATAAATTGCAATAAAAATAAAATCAAAATGGGGGTATTGTGTGATGAACTGCTAACACTTGCTTAATTTTGTAGATGTTCATTGTGAGTGTTACTGGGTCTTTAATGAGGTGTAGTCAGAGGTGGAAGTTTCTCCAATGGTGAATTTGTAACCGTCAGTATTTTATAAAATAGGTGACATGATGCAACTTGTGTAGAATTTCAGATTTATTACTTACATGGAAAGCCATTAAATATTAAAACAATTAATTTATGGTTTTACACTTACATTTTTCTCCTGTGATGCTATTATGCAGGTGAGGGACAAAACAGAGGGTGAGTTAAAGGAGTTAGAACATGTCTGTGACTTGCTTAAAGCCACAGAGGAAAAGCAGCAAGGATATCAGGAAAAGGTTGTGTTCTGGGAAAGGATCCATGCACAGAAATGTAAAACCCTTAGGGAGCTGCAGGTTCAGGTGCTTAGAACATGCTTATTTTTAAAGATAAATGAGAAAATTATGCGGAAGAAAGTCTCTGAAACATTTTTTTTGCTATTAGCGTGTGTGACAGTTGTGCGGTTTCCTTTGTTATGTACTTCATAAATCAAAAGCTCCTTCTGTGGAAATAGGACGATGAAACTAAAACTGTCACTAATTGTATTTACGTGAATTCAGTATGTGACAAGACTAGTTACTTATATTTACTTTCAGATTCTGTATCTTTTAGGTGAGTATATTCTTAATCCTTTTGAATACTTATGTCCTGAGATGTGTTGCAGAATTCTTCCCTGGAAATAAATCTTGGTGACATCCTTTAGAGATTCTTACCCTTGATCCTGTGATCAGAATTTAGGAAATTTCCTTTTGAAGTAACTGAACCATGTGCAGAAACCCTATTCTGGCTTCGGCTGGACCAGGACATCAGCTTATTGCTCCTGTGCTGGAGGTTTCTGCTACTACCAGTCTGCTAGCTGAACAGCCTGCAATTCACATACGCAAAATCAGCCAGATGAGCTCAAATTACTGGATGGAACTGCTTGAGGCAGCGCTGTGAATGATGGAGGTTGCGCCTTAAATAATGGTGCCAGCAGATTGGTGATGTGGCTATTTATTGCTAATCTGCTGTTGATGGATGGTAGCAAGAGCAATAATCTCATCACCACTGTTACGAGATTTAGAAGAAAACATGTAAAAGTTTGTCACTCTGGATGCAGGGCAGGGGAAGACAGTTTGACTTCTTGCTTTCTTCAGCTTCTGCTACTGATATACCTCTTTTTAGGAAGTTGGTTGTCTCTTTTGATATTAGCTGCTTTCTGAAATTCACTGCCAGTGCTACACTGTTCTTCTGCGACAACTGTATTTATATAAGGTATTATTTTTATGCTTCCTGTGACTGTAGTGTGAGGGAACTTATTTTTGCTGGAATCCAAAGCTTAAGACTCAAAGTTCACTAGGAGGTAGACGCGGTCAACTCCTAACACACAGAGCTGCATGGGCAGCGTGTGGATTTTGTTAGGACTTCACTTTGTTACGTGGCAGGTTTTCGGTCTTAAAGTGTTCACACAAAGTTTTAGTCTGTTACTTTGGCTGTATTTTATTTGTTTAAAATACAAGATTATGTTTACCTGAATATAATATAGTTTCACCTGAAATTATAGTTACATTGTTTGATTGGATTTTAATAGGCAAGATTACTTTACTCTATAATGTCCTGTATATAGGTCTCTTCAACTAAAAATGAACTGTCATTTTCACAGGAGGAAGACAGTATAACTTCCGTGGGCATTCATCGCTTAGAAGAGGAAAACTGTAACATTCAGAAGAAATATGAAGATCTTAAAAGGTAGCTTTTTATAAATCTGAGTGCAATTAATTCCTACAATTTTCTGCTATAGTGAATTATAATTCATTAATCTGCTTTGTAAAAAGGCAATTAGAAAAGATGGAATTTCAAAATGAAGAACTTGCTTGTCAGCTCAAAAAAGAAGATGAGAGGCTTCAGTGCAGTAAATTGCAGCTTGAAGAGAAAATTGCAGAATATAACAGACTAACCAGACAACTGGACTCTGCTTTGGAAGAGGGGAGAAAAATGGTATTGATGATTTAATACATCTCTTATTCTTGTTTGCCATTCCCTATTTTAAAATAGCATTAAAAACAAATGTGCTTGAGAAGAAAAGATGGGACAAGATTATTTTTCATGTGGGAAGCAATACTAAAAAGTCACTGGGAATTCCGTGTGTTTAAATATGAATTGCACAATTCAACTTCTTTGTGGAATTCAGATCCTATTCAAATGAAAGACAGAGTTCAGTGGGCCAACATTTCAAAATCTTTTTTTTTGTGACAAATCAAAATGCTTTAACCACCTAATTTTAAATCCCTCACATAAAGTTTCTGAACAAAAGCTTAATCTTGCCTTTTTCTTATTTTCTTTGGAATAGGCAGCCCACAAGAACTTTCGTGTTAAAATCCTTCTCATTTTAGAGGGAGGCTTTGCACACTTTCAATATTAAGCAGAGATTTGTCGTTTGTAGAAGGATGCAAACAGTAAATGAAATGGAGGAGTAAATATAGGAATTTAGATTGCAGTGAATTATGTTAGTTTAATCCCAAAATATGTATGAAGTTGTAATTTCTGTCTCAGATTCATCATGTTAAAATATCTGAATTTTCTCAATACTGTCTGAGGATATTGATTTGGTTTTGAAAAAATAAAAAGTGTGGCTTACCTTACAAATGAGTTACAGAAGTGTGTCCCTCCCAATTATATTACATTTTTTTCTAAATTGAAACTTAATTCAAATTTAGCCAGAATATTTCCCAAGTTTGTTTAATTTCTGTGCATGGGAAATAACTAAAGTATTAGATGACAGAATAGGAAATAGAGCCATTAATGCTAAGGTATAAGCAAAGAATTTGGTCTGGGCTTTAAGTGAAAGTAAATATACATAATTTCTCTCTTGTTGCTATTATAGGTAGCTGAAGAACTGCAAAAAAATTCATACAAAGAACAAGCCCTTCAGGCGAAAATGCTTGTTCTTGAAACCGAAGTGAGAGAGGGACAAGAAGAGAAAAAACAACTCCTCTGCATATTTCACCAAGTGAGTAAATAATACTGTTTATGACTTAAGAAATTACTTGCCACATCACTGTTTACAGTTACTGTTTACAGTTTTCAGTTTCTTCTACTGAAAAAGCACTACAAATACAATTGACGCACACTTTTGGGAACAGCAAATGAATTCAGCTTGACAATGTACTTTGTATATTGACATTTCTAATAGACTTAACAGATGCCCAGTCTAATTAAATCACTGGAATAATACTGAGTTTACATCTTTTATTCAATCCAGTTTTCCCAGCAAGGCAAAAATCAAAAAATACATATGAAGTTGTAATTTGCCTCTCAGATTAGTCGTGTTCAGTAAGTATTTCTAGATTTGAATCAATGCATAACAATTCCATAATGACTTACTGGTATTTTTTTTTCCTGAGCTGATTACAAGAATCTGATCTTACTGGAATTTGTGAAAAGCTTTCAGCTTATATATCAATGTTGCACCTAAACATAGTTAGTAACAAAAGAGAGATTCAGATTTTTCAAAGTGTCAAGCTTTTAAATGCCCCGGTTTTGGTATGCCGATACTTACCCATTCAGCAAAGCCACAGTCTAAGAAGGTATTTTGGATTAATAATATTCTCTGAATACAAAGAAAAGGAGTCTGATTTATTTTTTTTATCTAATCCAGAAAATTGCAGCACATTTTCTATTAATGAAATGTCAGATGTATCTGAATTCCCTAGACTAGTGATGACATATCATTTGCTCTGATCAGTTTTGATACAGTTAGAGATTTGTCCTATGACCAGTGATAATAAGCTACAAAGCTATTTAAACTGAGTATAGAAAACCCTAAAAAAGGTTTACTGTCAGTGTCCTAGGCTTTCAAAACCAGTATTCTGTACTGTGACTTGACACATTAAAGATTAAAACCAAGCCAACTGTATGGGGTCTGTCTGAGCTGGAGTCAGTCTCCCCACAGCAGCCTCCCAGAGCTGAGTGCTGCCCTGGCAGCCAGCAGGGGGTTTATAACACAGCTTGGGAGGGGCGGAGCTGGGACAGCTGACCCGGATTGGCTGTTCCAGACCATGTGACCTCAGCTCAGCCAGAACAGCCAAGGGCAGGGAGGAGGAGGGGGGCGTTGGTTGCTGTGTTTGTCTCCAGGAGCAGCTGCTGCACACACTGAAGCTCTGCTTTCCTGGGAAGTGGCTGGACATCACTTACTGACGGGAAGTAGAGGTTAACATCTTTATTTACCTTTTGTTTCTGTGTATGGCCTTGGACTTTGCTTTAATTAAACTGCTTTTATCTTGATCCACGAGTTTTTCATCTTATTCTCCCCCTTTATTTTGCTGAAGGGCACCTGGCATCCAGCCAAGATTAAGCCACCACACCAACCTAAATGCAAACTCTATTCAAGACTTAAATAAAACATCAGAGATACAGTTCTGAATTCAGTGTGCTTTAATTAATTTTTACCTGTATCAACTGTAACTTAATGTCTGCATTTACCCTAAAACAAAAGTGTTCTTAAAACAAAATCAGACATTGGCTAGTGTTCTATATTTTTTCATAGGAATTTCTTACTATGTTAAAGTAAAATAGAAAATAAATAGAGAATAAATAAAATTTTAATGTCTTTTGTCCCAGAAAAACTCATAGGTATGTTTTCAAATGGTTTCCATTTGAAGCTTGTAGTTAAAATATAAATGTGAAAGCTATATACATCTGAGAGAAGAGTTGTTCTAAATTAATTCATCACTTTTTATTTCAATTACCTTTACATATAACTGAGAATGCATTATGGAGAATCATAAACTAGTCATATTGCTGTTGTAGTGAAACTGGAAACAAAATAGGACTGCAAAAGTAACTTTATTCAGTTATTTGTTCTAATCTGATTATTTTTTTCTAAGCCTGGATTTAACTCTGATGACTATAATTCAATTTTTTTAAAAAATTTAATTTATTTTAGTCAACTAGCATCTGAAATATGTGGCAGACAGAAAAGGAAATACCTGAATATCTCTAGTATTTATATAACACATGATTTGTGGTGTGTAGCTACTATGGAAATAATGAGCAGGTAATATTGCTATCAGTCATCTTTTTAAAGTAAGGAACTATAGGCATCAAAAATCACGTTGCATCACAGATCAATAACAGATGTTTCCTTGAAAAATCAACATGACCGAGAGTGTTAAGTCCATAATAGACTTAAGATGCTAGGAATCTTTCATGATAAAAATTCAGAAGGTTAGTTTTTATGTTCCCAGGCCTTTTTTGGATTATAAACCTCTTCAAACATGTTCAGTTTTGTCCTGAATGAACATAAATAAAACTTCTGTATTTTGAGGCCTTTTGGGGAACCTTCAGTTTTGTGGAGCCACTGAAAACTTTTACGGGTAGATAAGGCTTATAAAAATTAGATACTAGTTGTCTTGCATTATTATTTTGATTGATTTGTATTTTATTTCTAAGTTGCATTGCAATTCTCTTTTTTCTTTAGAATGAAAAGCACCATGAAGTACATTTGAAAGAGCTGGAGAACAGCTTACAGAAGTCAGAGAACAAGAACCAGAGCATCCAGAATTATATGCAGTTTTTGAAAGGTTCATACATAACAATGTTTGGCTGAATTCTTTAGTTTAATTTATTTAGTAGTAAAGAAACTTTTCAAGATTTGGTTCTAACTCTTGTTGGAGGCAAGACTGTTGAGGCCCTATAGTATGTTGTAGGATTGAGTACTACAATGTTAGTTCTCCCCTAGGAAAACAACTGTTGTGGGCAGGGAAAAGCTGGTCAATCATTACTGTATATCCTACTGGCTGGTCACGTACAGAAGATTTACCTGCTATGACTGATATAATATGTATTATTCATGGAACAGAAGTGAAAAGGCAGACTGCATGACAGTAATGACAGGTATCAAAAGTAGGCAAAGTTGTAAATTGGTCTGAGAATTTACCGTGTGCTAGATCCTGTGGTGTAAAATCTTACGTGTGTCCTTTTAGTCTATGGTAGATGCAGATGACCACAGATTACCTGTATAATACTTATCAGTCATTATATTTCTGTTACTGTAGAAATCTAGTTGCCCAAGATAATTATATCTATGCTGGTAGGGCAGGCAAAAATTTAGAGACTGTTACGTTCCCTTTCTGTCTTTTCCCTGCAGGGTAGCACCAGCCCAGCACACACTGCTGCACTGCATGAAGTGGTTGCTGCCACAAGGCTGTCCCATCCAGCCTTTTTTCCATTTCCCATTATGATCAGGAGTATGCTATAGTAATATTTTGCAAATAGAGGTAGGAAAGTATGTTAGATACAGATATTATTTAAGCTCTGAATGTGGTGATATACCCTTCCACGTGACACAGCTCCAGTAAGGTATTTAAGTATTTATCTATGCTTGATCACAAGAGCTGCTGTTCCCTGAAGTAAAACTGACTTGTGCCTCAGGTTAAATACATTCAGCTGATACAGGGCTAATACAAAACAAAATTCTGACTGAGAAAGTAGTTGTTTTTATAGGTATATGCTTATAGAACTGTGATATATTTTTTTGAAAAGCAGTACATTTGATAATTTAAATATATGTAATTTACAATTTGGTGTATTTAAATAATATACATATTTTTAACTGAAAACATAAGTTAGTTCCTACACAGACAATAACTGTTTGTTAATGTATTATATAATTGTTATTTATAATGTATAGAATGTTGATGTTCTTTTTTCTTTTTTTACAAATGCTTTTCCATCCAGATACTGATATGTGATGATGATCTGTTTGTGTGCACTTTTTAGAAATAAAATAATCATTTATTATTTATGACTTATGTTAGTAGCAAATATTTCTGTTCTTTTTTAGTTATTTTATATTACACACACACAACCATATTTGTATTGATTTAGTTCTGCTTGTGCTACTTACAAAACATCAAAACCTTTTGAAAGTCACCACGTATTAAGGAAAGATTTTGGAAATAAACTGTTGAATCCAGTCCATGACTGGTTTTTTGAAAAGTCATCATGGAAAATTGTACACTTTCCATTGATAAATTATACAAAGATGTACAGTAACTTCATTTCAGCCTATATTTTGCTATCCAGGAAATTAGTGACCTTTTTTTTCCTTCCTATGTCATTTGCAAGAAATAGATATGGAATTATCAAAGTTTCTGACAGCTTCAGGTACCTCTTTACCACTGAATGTCTACAAACAATAAATTTAGGGTATGTCAAAGTATACATAACTTGATTTAGCTTATAAAATTAGAATTATTTTTTTCAGCTCAATCCATCATTTCCATTCAATTAATCTAGACTTTCTTTCCTTCATATTCAAGCTCTGGAATATATATTTTTGATCTTTCAAGTCTTAGTCTCTTAAAAATGAACACAGCAATTTCCAAATGATGGTGGTATTTTTATGTCTCCCCATTCCTGATTTTTTTCATGGTAGAAACAGGACTACTAGTCACAAAGATCACTTATTTTTTTCTCAGTTGCATTTAGGAACTGGTGTTAGCTGATCATGTTATTTGTGTTTTAAATTTTGTTAGCTCATTTAAAGACAGGAGTTGCTGTGGATTTTAATAAAGAAAAGAATGAAATTATCTTTCTAACTACCTAAGGATTTGCCATTTACTCTAGATTGCTGTTTTAATTGTGTAAAATACAGATAAAGTAGTTGTTGCCTCATTAATTTTACAACATAGAAAGCCGTGTGTCATGCTGCAGAATTCTTGGATACAGCTATATTGAATTGACTGTATTTGAGGATTCTAATCTTTTTCTTTAAAGCAATTTATTTTTACTGTCTGCATCACATAGCAAAATGATACTCAATTCTCTAGGAGGAAACAGACTTTATTATGTTTGCTTTCTTGGGAGCATTCATCTCTGGATGATTTCAGAAGCCCTTGATAATGATGGTGTTACCAGCATCCCACCTCTCAGCCTTTTTTCAAATGAGATTTTGTTTAGTGTTTTCCCAAAAAAATGCTTAATGTGCTGCTGCAGTTTTCAAATACAGACAGTCAGATAAAACATCTTACTGCTGCAAATGCTTGCAGAAAAGCTATCAAAACAACAGCTACTGGTCTGTACTGTACATGCTTTGTGATTATTTCCAGTCTAGTAGTGTTCATTCACAGGACCTTTAGCAAGCAGGAAGGCTTCTCTTCTGCTGCTTGAAATGTCCTTGGCCAGAAAAGCAGTAGAAATCAGAGATTCTATGTAAAAGTTTGACCATGCTTTCAATGACGAGCTCACCCAGTAGAGATTTAAAGAGATTTGAGCTGGGTAAGAACAGAAGAGTAACAAAAATGAGATTAAAACACTAGTATTCTAAATCCCACTGTACATAGAAGATTTCCTAGTAAGAAAGGCATTTTTACTATAGACTCACTAAGGTACATAGTTGAATGTTATGTGTGGTAGAATTTTATGGTTTGGACAAGATTTTAGTGGTAATATTTTACAAAAGCTGACTCAGTATGATGCAAGGTACGTAAGAGACCCCACAGCTGAACTGGTGCTAGTGTTGTTTTTGTTAATAAAATCAAAGCCACCTACAATGTTACTGTTTTTTTCCCAATATCTGTAGCCAGTGAATTTCCATATTCAATCAGAATTTCTGAGTTTTAATTAGGTTAAATTGTAAGCATGTAGAGTCCTGAAATTGGCAGACCTTGAAGAGCTGCCCTGAACTCCCTACTCCTGCAATTCTTTACCTGTGATAAAATGAACAGTAACACATCAGTGCCTCATTTCTTGCAGTTTTTGAGAATGAAAGGATTTGAAGTAGAAGATCATTATCATATGCTTTTGATTTGTTAATGTATGGGAACACAGAATCTAAAGCAGAAATCTTAGGGCTACTTGGGTCCTTACCCCCTTTAATCCCATCTGCCAAGTAGCTTATTATTAGTGGCTTAAGGTTGATCAAAGAACTTTATCTGTTTCCTATCTATGGCACAAAAACTGCTATAAATCCTATTGTAAGATGGAGTCTTTCCAGTAAGAGCACAGAAAGTCAATAGTTTCTCTCTGGACACCTGCCTCTGTAAGGGATGTCTCTGTAGAAGAGATGCAGCAATCTTTGAGCTCCATATGGATGACTACTCAGTTGAGTGTGATAAGTTACTAGCACAACTTTTCTTTTGACTAGTCCTTTTATCTATTTAATGGTGAATGAAATCAACACTTGGATTCTTGTGAAAAATTTAAGGAGAGACTGTTATCATGCAGCTCAAAATATCTTCTGCTAGAACCGTGTCCAGCGTCCTGCCTTGGAAAAGAGACACATTAGATTTTTTGTGACAAAATCACTTTGTTGGTGACTTTCCTACGTGACAAGCGACTTGGCTTCTTCTGCTGACAAGCTGTTTAGCAGCGTAAGGTGTGTGTGCAGCCTGCACTGTGCTGGGAGGCCTGGCGCTGGCCGGCACAAATGGATCAAAGCTGGGGTGAGAGGAAAGGGTTGTGCGAGGTGTGAAGCGGACGCAATGATTTCATACAGATTTCTTCTTGTTTTTCAACAAAAGCTTCCTGTGGTTCGTTTTAAGGCTGACATGGCTCAGCCATGTTCCTTAAGGCCAGAGAAGCAAGAGCACTGTGTCGGTGTCCGCTCCTGGGGATTTAAAGCAGTCACAAATGTGACGGCATTGCACTCACGCAGGTCATCCTGTTATGCATTTGGGTTCAGAATATTTTCTTGTGTACTTACAGCTGAACAGCAATCATATAGCAGCTGTCACTCAATAGTAAAGCTTCCAAATGTTTGAAGGTGGAGTGCATTTTACGTTGCCATCCACATTTATCTGCACCTCTCTCAGGATTCTTGATGTAATGCCGTTGGCTTGCAACCTTTGGGTAAGGCTTTTACAGCTGCAAACAGTCCAAAGGAATATCATCCACGTGATAAGTAAATCATTCC